TGGAGGTGGCGGGGAAGGTGGCGGGGGAAGCGGCGGCGGCCGGGGTACGGTTGGGGGTGACGGAGGTAAGGCGGGTGGGTACGGCACGGATGGGTACGGAGGTGGCAATGAGGCGGATGACGGTTCCGCTGGGTCCTGGACGTTGGCAATAGCGGTGGGAGGACTCCGGAATGGCGGGGGGGGTCGTGGTTTCGGAGGTGGTGACTTCAACGGCGGCGATCTAGCAACGTAGGGCGGTGGCGTCTGGGACGGCGGCGGGGAATAGACAGCCGGCAGCGGCGGCGACGGCGGCTTCGGGTATGGTGGCGGAGGCAGCGGTACTGGTGGGTACGGCAAAGGGGGCGGCGACGGCGACAGCGGCCGCGGCGGCACAGGCGACGGCGGTGCGGGTTGCGGAGGCGATGGCGCCGGGGAGGGCGGCGGCAGCGGTACGCTAGGCGGCGGCGACGGTGGCGACGGCGGCGACGGCGGTGATGATGGTCGCGACGGCGGCAACGGCGGCATCACCAGCGATATCTTGATGTCGATAACGTCGTACACTCGGCGGTAAAGATCGCCAAAGTAGAATGCCGTGTTGTTCTGGAGGTTGGCGACCTGGAAGCGGCGGAGCGGGGTATGTGGCGTTAAGGGGACGCCAGCGAGGGTCAGGGCTCGCTCGTGGTGGTAGCGGCGGCGGACGGGAGTGGCGTGGTGGTAGTTGCAGCGAGGCCCCGGTGCTTTTGTACCCCCCGGCGGTGCTTGTGCTGTGCTCTTTGCCGGGTAAGGCCAGTTCGTCAGCAATGTCCAGGAAGACTTTCCGGGGCAGGAGGGGAGGACTGGGCAACCCCCGGCAGATTTGCAACGAGCGAGCGAACGCGAACGCGAACGCGGACGCGAGGAATGTACTAGCTCTCGCACGTGCAGGCACCCCCTCCCTATAGGTCCGCTTATCGCTTATCGCTTATCGCCTCCTTAAGCCCCAACTCGCAGACCTCTAGGCGCAGGCCCCCCTGTCCTCTCTCACCGTGAACTCGAAATCTGACGGGCGGCTGTTTTGCCCCAGGGTCAGCAGCATCCAGCTGCTAAGTCCGTCATCCGCCAGCCAGGCGCCCTGCGGCATCTCCCCCGGTGTGCACGTCACGGCCGTGGAGAAGATGCGAAGGAAGAGGCACGTGGAGTCGAGCTGCTGCCGGAACCTATACGTACGGCAAACACGTGCAAGGACACGTACGACGGGTGACGAGTTTGGGGCCAGACGGGGTTAATGAAGGACACAGTCTAGTTTCGAAGGAGGAAATGGTCTTGGCAGCTGCGGAAAGCCAGGCTTCATGGAAAGTATAAGGAATCGTCGGTGCTGCTACCACGGCCCCCCTCCCTCCTCTCCCCTCCGCAGACCCGTATGAATGCCCAATTGGCTGTGGCGCGTATCCGTGCTTGGGGGCCTTATCAGAGGGACTCTGATAAGGTGCGTTTTAACCCCGCTCGGATCTTGTTGGGCGTACGGCAATACACACACGCACGTGTCCGTGTCCGTGTCCATGTTGATGATTGGTGCATCTGGTGTGTTACTCGCGGCGAGCTCTGACGAAAGCCTAAAATGATTTTTTCTTCCGATGAACCTTCCTGCCGCCCCAGCCTTCTCTGCTAAGTCTGTACTACAGCCCGTACAGTCTGACGGCATAGGTCGAATCGAGCCCCAACATCACACACCCGCACGCGCACCCACTTCACCCACCGGTCAGTGTCGAATGCTCTACGGTAATTCATGGACATCATGACCACCCGCACCATGGGCGGAGGTGGTAACGGAGACGGCGGGCCGGGGGGCGAGGGGGGCTTAGGGGGATTAGGTGGCGGCGACGGCGGCCGCGGCGATGGGCTGGGCCGCGGCGGCCGCGGCGGTCGCGGCGGTGGCCGCGGCGGTTTCGACGGCTTCGGCGGCGGGTTCCTCGGCGTTGGGTCATCCGGCGCTGACGGCGGCGTGTTGTCAGGAATGGTCAAGTTGTCGGAACCGTCCGCGATATCAGCGGCGAATAGCAGGAATCGGTGTCGATGGCCGTGGATGGCAGAAAGGGGCGGCGGCGTGGCGGCAGAACCGCACGGGCCAGCGGCATTGACAGCGCCGGCGGCGCTGCTGGCGATGCCGCAGTTTATGGCCGATATCGAGGAGATGTTGAACGCGCTGCGGTACGGCAGCGGCAGGAAGAGCGAGGGGTCTCGCGCGAAGTCCGACACCTGCAGAGAAAGATTGAGGGTAGGAGCGAGGGTAGGTCTATAGGAGACTCTGCCTGCGTTTCCCCGACCGTTCTTCCTCACAAAAAAGATCTCCCCGAAGATAGATATCTCACCGCAGAGTTGAAGTCACCCAGTGGGAGACCGCTACCCCGCACCAGCACCGCATCGAACACAGAGGACAGCCCGCTGGTCGCCAGGAAGGTGGTGGCGGCGTTGGCGGTACAGCTCTCCGCGCCCGTTGCGGCGGTGATGTAGACGCAGGCGGAATCCAGCTGCTTGGACCAGCTACGGCGGAAGAGAGAGACACGGGGCAGGTGGGGACGAGGGGGGTGGAGCTGCATAAGAAAGATGAGCTTTCTAGCAATGAGCTCCTTAGCAAAATGAGTAAGCGGCAAGGCGGCGCGAAGGAAGTCATGTGACACCGTATTTCGCAGATCCTTGTATACACGAAAATCGCCACAGACCAGGACGCCGCGGCTGCTTCACTATACGTGGTATGAACGGCCTCACGCCAACCTCACCTGTCCGTATCCAGCGGCTCTCCATAGATGAAACTCAGACGCAGCGTGTACGGCCGCGCTGGCAACACCGCCACCTTGGCAGCAACTGATGGCGCCGCTGCGGCCGTGTCGGCGGCTGATTCGACAGCGGTGGCCTTGAGCCTCTTGCTGACAGCTTCAATGACCTCCACCACGTAAGCCTCAAGCTGAGCTTCAATTTGTGAGCTCGGCATTGATGACGAGGAAGACGGGTCGGGGTTGTCCAGCAGGGAGCCGGGTACGACAACCGATCCCCCCTGGAGAAGGCGGCGGCGCATGTCCGGCACGCTGTCGTCGGTGCTGTTGTCGTCCACGAAGGAGTCGTCGTACGCGTTGATGCCGCCATTGAGTCCAGGTCCCGCAAAGATGCGGCCGATGCTCCCGTAAAACGTATCCCCCCAGCCAAGCGTGCCGTTGATCAGCGCGCTGATCGAAACAAGGACATACAGCCGGCATGGGACAGCGGAGAGATTAAGGGACGCGAAGAAGCGGGGCAGAGAGGGGCAGTAATAATAGTAGGAAGAGAAAGGGAAAGGGAAAGGGAGGGAAGAAACGGAGGAGGGGGAAGGCGGGGAGATAATTCTCAGGTCGAAATGTCGGTAGGGACGATCCGAGGAGGACACAATGGCGCTCCCCAAAGCAGGTCGCGGAACACAGCGCGGGAGAGAGAGAGAGAGCAGCGAAGGGCTTGGTGGGTGGAGCGAGACGAGGTTTGCGTGGTAATCACCCACTCCCCATTCCTATCACTAGGAAAAGCCTCCCACTCCTCCTCCCGAGCTTATCCTCACCCACCCACCCACCTCCTGTAATCCGCCGCAGAGCCGAACGCCAGCCAGCCGGTGCAGATCCTGAGCGCCCGGTAGTCCTTCATGGTGATCCGCTTGTCCCATGCGTGGCCCCACATCTCAATGGGCATCCTTAGAGGGGGGGGAGGGGGGAAGGGGAGGGGGAAGGTGTGGAAGGCGGGTGTGAAACACGCGGGCGAGCGGCTGGGGAGCGCATGACTTGAGACCACAGGTATACACGTACATGTATATACGTATGTATGCATGTTTATTTGCCACATATCGATCCGGGCCTGACACTGGCCAGGGGCACCTAACCGTACCCCTCCAACGGGAACAACCGCCGGAGTAAGTAGGTAAGTAGGTATGTATGCACTTTTGCATGGAAAGGCGAAAGGGAAAGATGGATTGTGAGGATGTCGTCCGGGTGTGAGGTAGGTCCATGAAGACACGACGGCACTTGACAGGTGGACATAAGAGGAGGAAGGGAGCAAGAGAGGAGGTGGAGCAAGAGGGAGGTAGGGGCCCCAAGTGAAGAGGGAAGTGTGTGTGCCCCAGGGGCCCACTTACATCTCACGCATACCGCGGTTGTATTCGGTCGACTGCGCCAGGCGCCGGCCACCGCCATGCTGGTCCTCAAGTTCCAGATCCAAATCGGGATCCACTGCATCTGAATCCACAGCCAGCACGTCAGGACCCTCGAAGTCGCTTTCCACATACAACATGGACCCGCTGCTGCCGCTACTGCCGCTGAGTCGGCGGCGGCCCTTGGTCAGTTGAGCAGTGGCGGGAGCCGGGGTATAGGGGTAGGAGAAAGAGGGCAGCAGCGTCCTCAAGGGGATGGGTTCCCCGTCCGCGATGTCGGGTACTCCGGCTCCGCTGAGGTCCATGACGGTCGCGGGGATGTCCACCATGTTACCCTGCGAGGGTGTGTGAGAGGGTGTGTGTGTGGGTGAGGGTGTGGGTGGGTGAGGGTGTGAGGGTGTGAGTCATTGGTCTGTTCTCTAACCCCCCTCCCTCCCTTTCCCCCCCCCCCTCCCTCCCTCCCTCCCCCCCCCTGCTACCACCCGGGGCACTGGCAGAACGGTGATCGCGGAATGGCGAAGACGACGACAGTAATGGTGGCACCATGATCATACGCATACAGATAGATATGCACACACACACACATATACACCCTGCACACTGCCTCTTCCTGTCTTCGGGGAGTGCTGGTCTAATTTAATTGGCCGAATCTACAGCACGTAGAAGGGAAAAAGTGGTTGCTCCGCGGGCCAGCCCCGGCCACATGCGTGCTAGCCCCATGCCATCGAGATGCAAACTATTCGGTAGCAGACGCACACAACAGTACGATACTCGTACCTGCCAGTCCGTGACGTAGCCGGGGGGAATTCCGGGGCCTAACAGCGTTGGGGAAGGGTTGGGGAAGGGTTCGTGGGAAATGGGTTCGAGGTCGGGGGGGGGATTCAGGTGTTAGGACATGGGCAAAGCACCGACATACATACATACATACATACATACATACATACATACATACATACATACATACATACATACATACATACATACATACATACATACATACATACATACATGCATACACACAGCCAGGCAGTTCACCACGTCTCTTCGGAGTCCGGTCGGTACTCCATTAATGACGCCAGGGCAGCTCTTCCCCGCGGACTGGGCCCTCCGCGCTCACACCGTCACCCCCCCACCTTCATCTTCATGTCCACCACCAAGGTACCCACAGTGCAGTACACGCCACCACAAAACCACACAGCATCTGCTAAGTCTGGGTCCAGATTGAATTTGCCTCCAGCCACCTGCTACCTTCGACCCCCCCCTTCATCCGAATCACCCCACTTCCTGCCACCCTTCCTCCCTGCGCCTCCCCTCTTCCCCAATTCATCAGCAGCCGGGCCCCCCCCTTCCCCCCGGCCCCCCCCGCCCCCCCCTTTCCCCCCCCGTCCCCCCCCCATAAACCCACCTCGAATGTAGAAAGGCACCCGGACCACCTCCTCCCAGTGAAACTGCTTGCCACTGCTCTGGGCGTGATTGCCCAGCTGGAAGCCGTTGTCGCTCGTGAAGATAACGTACGTGTTGGACAGCTGGCCCACGCTGGCGAGCGTTGTTGCTGTGGGGACCACATGCGCGCGCGTTTGTGTGTGTGTGTGTGTGTTGGGGGGGGGATTGGGAGATTGAGAGGAGGGGTTTCGGTGTTGGAGGGTATGCGAGAGGAGTTGGCGGTTGGATTGCAAAAAGAGGGTGGCGAAAGGGAGGGAAGGATTCAACTTATGGTTGGACGTTGCGAAATTGAACGGACGTCCGAGGAGGGAATATGTCACATGGATGGATATGATGTATATATGATCATCATATGATCATGTATATACATGTACGGAAATAATTAATATACTTTTTACATACATAATATATATTATGTATGTATGTATGTATATATATACATGTACATATTATTTATAAACTTGTTTTACAGTCCAGACGTATAGTCGCATATATCCATATATACATCTCCCGCGCGGGTCCAAGTTCTTACCTAGCCGCCCGATCATCTCGTCCACTGCTCGCAGCGTCCGCAGCCGGGCCAGGTAGTGCTTCTGCACTCCGGAGCTGCTCTTCATCTCGTTGATAAGACCCAGTTCGGGCGGCGGCGGAACGTTGAAGTTGGGGTTCATGGGCAACAGGGCGTCAGGGAACAGCAGCTTGTGGCGCTGAGCGGGCACCGGAAAGACGCAGCCGCCCTCGTTGTTAATATAGTCGCACTGGGTATGCGGCGCGACGGGAGTGACCTGCAGATAGAATGGCTTGTAGTTGGCTGCGCCATTAGCCATGCCCTCAGCAACCGCCTTCCGAATGTACGCATCTGCCTTGTCCGAAATGACGTCCGTGCTATACTGGTTGGGTAAAACCTGCGAGGTAGAGTTTACGATTAAATTCCGGTAGGGAGCTGTGCGTTTGATACATGGAAAAGGCGAGTTTAGCATATACCGCTAGTTGCTGAAATCGTTGATGGTCCCATTCACACACATATGCATATATACATACATGCAAACATCTCCATGCGCACGGTCCCCACATATGGTCCATAGAGCCGCTCCATTCCCTCTACCCAGTTTCACGGGGGAGGCGCACCCCCATGTAGGCCCTATCACACACCCCACCCGCTCCGCCATGCACCTTGACTACTCCGTCCTTGCACATACGTACATACATACATACGCACACACGCCTATGCCTGATCTTAAAGCGCACTCACGTCATCCCGGGCCGAGGCGCTCCCCCACAAACCCCCAGCCACAGCGGCCCCCTTGACCTGCCTCTATAGGGCCACAGTTGTAGCTAAACGCGGGGTTGTAGTACAGATATACATACGGCTCTACCAGAGCGTCCCATGTGTCCCAGCCTTTGGGGCACCTGGCGGGGAAAGGAAGGGGGTCAGGTTCGGGCTCAGGCGTTTAGGGGCCTCAGGGAACGTTGGCAGGACGGCTGGTGGCGCAAGAGGGGGGAAAGGGGGGGGGTAGGAAAGGGGGGGGGGTAGGAAAGGGGGGGGGTAGGAAAGGGGGGGGGGTAGGAAAGGGGGGGGGTAGGAAAGGGGGGGGTAGGAAAAGGGGGGGGGTAGGAAAGGGGGGGGGTAGGAAAGGGGGGGGGTAGGAAAGGGGGGGGGGGGTAGG